GAGGAAAGGAGGAGAGACCCAGGAAGGGATGGGGAAACCACAGGAGAGACTGGGGAGACTCAGGGAATGACTTGGGGTTTAGAGATGGGCGGGTGGTCCCAGGGAAGGAGGGAGAGCAGAGGGTGGAGCAGGGACCTTGGAAGGGGTGGGGAATCCAGGGAGGGCTGGGGAGGACAAAGAGAGGGATGAGGGATGTGCAGGGGGAACTGGGCACTCATGGGGGAAACCAAGAGGGACTTGGGGAATTGTGGGTGACCCAGGGAGGAGGAAAGGGAGGGATGAAGGATTCAGGCAGTGCCGGGGAAACCCTCAGAGGATGTCAGGCTTCCCTGTGCCCATCCCTGCACTCACTGCGCACTGTCACTGTCACCAGCTCTGACTTCTTCCACTTTGACTCCACATAGCCCCCGCAGCGGTAGCGGCCGCTGTGGCTCAGCTGCAGGGGGGACAGGGACAGCTCGGTCCCAGCCTGGGGCCCCCTCAGATGCTTCTCCTCACGGTAGAAGTACACACTTGTGAGCCGTTTGTCCTGCCAGCCCCGGCAGCGCAGTGTCACCGTGTCCCCCTCCAGCAGGGCCCGCGCTGGCACCTGCAGCACCAGCGGGTCTGGGGGACAGAGGGGACATGTCACACCAGGGACATCAGCAGGGTGGTGATGCCACCGGGAGGCACCAGGAGCCACCCACTGGGAGGGGGAAATCTCCTCGCTCTGGGATGAGAGCAGGGGACAGATCTGGTCACACAGGAGGTGACCCATGGAGCAGAGCCCACCCAGAGCCCTCGGGGTCCCTGCGGGTGCCAGCCTGGGGACACCCAAACCCCCCCTCACCATCTGAGACTCTCACGGAGGGGCTGTGCCCGCTGCCGGGTCTGTCACACGTGTAGGTGCCTTTCCTGGTGACAGTGAGGCGGTCGGGTCCCTCCTGCCTCCTTCTCTGCCCGTCCTTGTACCAGGTGGTGGCACCGGCGGTCCCCGAGCCCTGGCAGGTCAGTGTCACCTGGTCCCACAGCACCGCCGGCCTCCAGGGGGGCTCCACGAGGAGCTGGGTGGTCTGGGCACCTGCGGGTGACAGGGGACATCAGCCTGGCTGGGGACACCAGCCTGCCAGGGGACACCAGCCTGCCGGGGGACACCAGCCTGCCAGGGCCAGCACGGGGCTGGGGACAGCGGGGTGGGGACATGGCATCCCACGGGGACTCACCAGCGAGGCCGAGGGTCTGGGCTGGAAGGGAGAAGGGACAGGGCTCAGTGGGGGTGGCACTGTGGGGACAGCAGCACGGGGACACGGGGTGTGGCAGCTGTCCCCAAAAGGTCTCTGTGCTGGCTCAGGTCACCCCTGCCAGCCCCACAGCCACAGCCCCATGACCTTGTGCCCGTGGTCCCACTCCTCTGGCACCTGTCCCCATGGCCCAAGCACAGGGTGCTTGTCCCCTTGTCCCTGTCCTGCATCCCTGTGTCCCTGTCCCCACAGCTGCCCCAGCCCCAAGGCTCCTTCTCTCACATCCTTGTCCCCACATCTCCATCCCCCTGTCCCTGTCCCCACATCCCAGTTCCCCTCCCTGTCCCCAGTTCCTGTCCCCAAAGCCACCCCACAACTCTGGTCACACTCTGGTTACTCCATGCCCTGCTGGCCTTGGGGACCTCAGGGCACCCCACAGCCCCCCTGTGCCCCCTCCCCATCCCAGGGGTGTCAGCCCCGTGCCCGGGGCACTCACCCCACAGGAGCAGTGCCACCTTCCCGGCCATCCCAGTGTCCCCAGCCATGAGCACCGGCTGTCACTCGCTGCCAGGGGTGGCTGTCCCCTGGCTGGTGGCTCTTTGGCCAAAGGGGAAGGAAGCGAGGTCTCAGGTCTCGCCCTCATGTGGAGGTGGCCCTTGGTGGGGGCAGGGTGACCACAGGTTGTGGGCAGGTTGGGGTCAGGATGGGGACAAGGTTGAATGGCTCACGGTGGGACATGGGGTTGCCATGAGTGGGGGGCTCAGGGGGTTTGGGGTGCCAGGGGTGGGGATGCTGGGAGAATGGGGGGTCCGGTGGGAATGGGGTCCTGGGCCATGGGGGTCCCAGGCAAGGTGGGACATCAGGAATGGGGTTCCCATGGTTTGATTTCCAGGGGAATGGAGGTCCCAGAGATGGGCAGTGGCTAGGTGGGCACAGGGGTCACAGCTCCTTCCCTGGGTGCCTCAGATTTTGGGGTGACCCAGGGCCCAGCAAAGTCCCCCCAGGGTGCTTGTGGTTTGGGAGGGTCACCCCAGGAAGATTCTGAGAGGATCTGGGTTTGTGTCCCCCATCCCCCAAGGGCTTTTTCCTCTCCTCATTTCCATTTCCATCATTTTCCCCTCAATTTCACAACCCCCCAGTTGGTGCCTTGCTGATCCTGGGGAGCCCCTAAGCAGGGAACGGGTGGGGGGAAGCCCAGGGTGGGGGAAGCAGTGGTGAGGGGTCTGCAGGGGGGGCTGGGGAGGCTGCGGGGGATGGGGGTGTCCGGCTGTGCACCCCAACACTTCCACTTTCTTTCAGCAGAAGGAAGTGGCCGTTTGTGCTGTCACAGAGGGGCAGGTTCTGTCCTGGGGGGCACATCCAGGGGGATCCTGTCCTGGGGGGATCCTGTCCCAGGGGGGGACATGCTGGACAAGAGGGTCCTGTCCTGGGGGGATCCTGTCCCAGGGGGGGACACATGCTGGACAAGGGGATCCTGTCCTGGGGGATGGAGGATCCAGGGGGGTCCAGACTTCTCCATTCTTGCTCGTCCCCTGCAGGATCCGAGCCCCGGGCAGGAAGGAGCCCCCAAATTCTTGATCCTTAAAGCCAGTGGCCATTGCCCAGCCCTGCTCTGGCCAGCCCCAGGTGGCAGCCAGGATCTGAGGGTCCCCCCTGCCCCCTTGGCTTTGATTCTGGCAGCTTCAGAGCTGCTGCAAAGGTGAGAATTCTGTGGTAGAAAAAACGCTGCCTGTGGTGTGCTCAGCCCTGCAAGAAGCACAAAACCAAAGGGAGCCTAAGCAGTGGCTCTGTGAGGGTCTTTGATGGTTTTCAGAGCAGGGCTGGCTGGAAACCCCCCCTGCAGGGGCAGCTGTGAGGGAACCAGCTCGGAAATGCAGCAATTGATCACTTTGTCCCTTTGCCCAAGGGACTGAGAAAACCACAAAAATACTGCAAACCCCACAACAACCTGACCTGGACCCTTCTTGAACAAAACCTGCAGCCCTTTGGGACCTCATGGAAAGGATGTTTGTGTTCTGAATGTGCACAGCAAAGTCGATGTGGGACATTCGGGCACCTACCAGTGCGTGGCCACCAACCAGCTGGGACAGGACGGGCACCGCGTGTTCCGGGCACTCAGCCCAGAGCTGGCCCTGGCTGTGATACTGAGGGGACACTGGGGTACAGGTGAGGCCACACAGGGGTCACCGGGGGGTACAAGGCACCTGAGGTGAGTGGTGACCCTGATGTGTCCCCCTCTGTTTCTTGCAGTGGCTGCAGGGGTCGGAGGGGCCCTTTTGTTCCTGCTCCTGCTCGTGGGTGTCATTGTGGCCTGGCACCGGTGTCACCGTGTGGGTGGGTGACACTGGGGGCACAGGGGTCCCAGGGAGCTGTAGAGGCACCCAAATTTTGGGAGCAATAGGGCAGCATCCACAACCCCTGAACTGTGACCTTGGCTGGGGGTCCTGTAGGGTGTGGGGAGGTGCTGGAGTGTCCTGCAGGGAGGTTGGGGGTTCTTTCAGGGGTCCTGGGGGTGTTTGGGGGGGTCTCTGTCCCTACGGGGATTTGGATTCTTGAAGCTGAGTTGGTTGGGGGGCGCAGGAGATGTTCATGCATTCTGGGGGGCTTCAGGGATGCTTGAGGGTCCTGTGGGGATTCAGGAATCCTGAGAGGGATCAGTGCCCTGGGACCCCACAGTCACCCCTCCCCTCTTTCCTTTGCAGCTGCCAGGAAGCAGCAGGAAAGGTGAGTGGGGGGCTCAAACCACACTCTCCCCCGTTACCCCAAACCCCAAGACCTCCCATTCCCTGCCCCACATCCCCTTTATTCCCTCAGGGCCCCCCCGGATCCCCCGGCCCCCCCAGAGGAGGGGCAGGTGCTGTACACCCACGTCGTGGTCACCAACAGGGCAGGGGGTGAGTACAGGGGGGACACACGCAGAGGGACACGAGTGTCACCCCACCCAGATCCCACAGCCTGTGTCTCTCGCAGCGTCCCCCCGTGCCACCACCCTCCAGGATCCCCAGGTGACCTACGCGGAGCTGCGGGGAGCCCAGGGGCCACCACGGGAACCTGGTGACATCTACGGGAATGTGCTGTGACACTGGGGGAACTGGGGGCACTGGGAGTCCCCACCCATGGGCACCTACACAGTAGGTGCTGCCACTAAAAACTGCCCTCTAA